ACTTCAGTCTTGGGACATTTCTGAATTTCTACAACATCATAACATCAAAAAATTACAAAAAAAGGTCGAAAAAATAAATTTCCAAATTTGAATGCAGATTTATAGATAATTGCTCCAGAAACATTTAGAGGTATGCCACTTCAAAATCCGATTAAGATAAGTTGAGTTATGGACTTCGGAACTTCAGTCTTGGGACATTTCTGAATTTCTACAACATCATAACATCAAAAAATTACAAAAAAATGTCGAAAAAATAAATTTCCAAATTTGAATGTAGACTTATAGATAATTGCTCCAGAAACATTTAGAGGTATGCCACTTCAAATTCCGATTAAGATAAGTTGAGTTATGGACTTTGGAACTTCAGTCTTGGGACATTTCTGAATTTCTGCAACATCATAACATCAAAAAATTACAAAAAAATGTCGAAAAAATAAATTTCCAAATTTGAATGCAGATTTATAGATAATTGCTCCAGAAACATTTAGAGGCATGCCACTTCAAATTCCGATTAAGATTAGTTGAGTTATGGACTTTGGAACTTCAGTCTTGGGACATTTCTGAATTTCTACAACATCATAACATCAAAAAATTACAAAAAAATGTCGAAAAAATAAATTTCCAAATTTGAATGCAGATTTATAGATAATTGCTCCAGAAACATTTAGAGGTATGCCACTTCAAAATCCGATTAAGATAAGTTGAGTTATGGACTTTGGAACTTCAGTCTTGGGACATTTCTGAATTTCTACAACATCATAACATCAAAAAATTACAAAAAAATGTCGAAAAAATAAATTTCCAAATTTGAATGCAGATTTATAGATAATTGCTCCAGAAACATTTAGAGGTATGACACTTCAAAATCCGATTAAGATAAGTTGAGTTAAGGACTTTAGAACTTCAGCCTTCGGTCATTTTTGAATTTCTACAACATCATAACATCAAAAAATTACAAAAAAATGTTGAAAAAATAAATTTTCAAATTTGAATGCAGATTTATAGATAATAGCTCCAGAAACATTTAGAGGTATGCCACTTCAAAATCCGATTAAGATAAGTTGAGTTATGGACTTCGGAACTTCAGTCTTGGGACATTTCTGAATTTCTGCAACATCATAACATCAAAAAATTACAAAAAAATGTCGAAAAAATAAATTTCCAAATTTGAATGCAGATTTATAGATAATTGCTCCAGAAACATTTAGAGGCATGCCACTTCAAATTCCGATTAAGATTAGTTGAGTTATGGACTTTGGAACTTCAGTCTTGGGACATTTCTGAATTTCTGCAACATCATAACATCAAAAAATTACAAAAAAATGTCGAAAAAATAAATTTCCAAATTTGAATGCAGATTTATAGATAATTGCTCCAGAAACATTTAGAGGCATGCCACTTCAAATTCCGATTAAGATTAGTTGAGTTATGGACTTTGGAACTTCAGTCTTGGGACATTTCTGAATTTCTACAACATCATAACATCAAAAAATTACAAAAAAATGTCGAAAAAATAATTTTTCAAATTTGAATGCAGATTTATAGATAATTGCTCCAGAAACATTTAGAGGTATGCCACTTCAAAATCCGATTAAGATAAGTTGAGTTCTGGACTTCGGAACTTCAGCCTTGGGTCATTTTTGAATTTCTACAACATCATAACATCAAAAAATTACAAAAAAAGGTCGAAAAAATAAATTTCCAAATTTGAATGCAGATTTATAGATAATTGCTCCAGAAACATTTAGAGGTATGCCACTTCAAAATCCGATTAAGATAAGTTGAGTTATGGACTTCGGAACTTCAGCCTTCGGTCATTTTTGAATTTCTACAACATCATAACATCAAAAAATTACAAAAAAAGGTCGAAAAAATAAATTTCCAAATTTGAATGCAGATTTATAGATAATTGCTCCAGAAACATTTAGAGATATGCCACTTCAAAATCCGATTAAGATAAGTTGAGTTATGGACTTTGGAACTTCAGTCTTGGGACATTTCTGAATTTCTACAACATCATAACATCAAAAAATTACAAAAAAATGTCGAAAAAATAAATTTCCAAATTTGAATGCAGATTTATAGATAATTGCTCCAGAAACATTTAGAGGTATGCCACTTCAAAATCCGATTAAGATAAGTTGAGTTATGGACTTTGGAACTTCAGCCTTGGGTCATTATGGAATTTCTACAACATCATAACATCAAAAAAATTACAAAAAAAGGTCGAAAAAATAAATTTCCAAATTTGAATGCAGATTTATAGATAATTGCTCCAGAAACATTTAGAGGTATGCCACTTCAAAATCCGATTAAGATAAGTTGAGTTATGGACTTTGGAACTTCAGCCTTCGGTCATTTTTGAATTTCTACAACATCATAACATCAAAAAATTACAAAAAAATATTGAAAAAATAAATTTTCAAATTTGAATGCAGATTTATAGATAATTGCTCCAGAAACATTTAGAGGTATGCCACTTCAAAATCCGATTAAGATAAGTTGAGTTATGGACTTTGGAACTTCAGTCTTGGGACATTTCTGAATTTCTACAACATCATAACATCAAAAAATTACAAAAAAATGTCGAAAAAATAAATTTCCAAATTTGAATGCAGATTTATAGATAATTGCTCCAGAAACATTTAGAGGTATGACACTTCAAAATCCGATTAAGATAAGTTGAGTTAAGGACTTTAGAACTTCAGCCTTCGGTCATTTTTGAATTTCTACAACATCATAACATCAAAAAATTACAAAAAAATGTCGAAAAAATAAATTTCCAAATTTGAATGCAGATTTATAGATAATTGCTCCAGAAACATTTAGAGGCATGCCACTTCAAATTCCGATTAAGATTAGTTGAGTTATGGACTTTGGAACTTCAGTCTTGGGACATTTCTGAATTTCTGCAACATCATAACATCAAAAAATTACAAAAAAATGTCGAAAAAATAAATTTCCAAATTTGAATGCAGATTTATAGATAATTGCTCCAGAAACATTTAGAGGCATGCCACTTCAAATTCCGATTAAGATTAGTTGAGTTATGGACTTTGGAACTTCAGTCTTGGGACATTTCTGAATTTCTACAACATCATAACATCAAAAAATTACAAAAAAATGTCGAAAAAATAAATTTCCAAATTTGAACGCAGATTTATAGATAATTGCTCCAGAAACATTTAGAGGTATGCCACTTCAAATTCCGATTAAGATTAGTTGAGTTATGGACTTTGGAACTTCAGTCTTGGGTCATTTTTGAATTTCTACAACATCATAACATCAAAAAATTACAAAAAAAGGTCGAAAAAATAAATTTCCAAATTTGAATGCAGATTTATAGATAATTGCTCCAGAAACATTTAGAGGTATGCCACTTCAAAATCCGATTAAGATAAGTTGAGTTATGGACTTCGGAACTTCAGCCTTCGGTCATTTTTGAATTTCTACAACATCATAACATCAAAAAATTACAAAAAAATGTCGAAAAAATAAATTTCCAAATTTGAATGCAGATTTATAGATAATTGCTCCAGAAACATTTAGAGGTATGAAACTTCAAAATCCGATTAAGATAAGTTGAGTTGAGGACTTTAGAACTTCAGCCTTCGGTCATTTTTGAATTTCTACAACATCATAACATCAAAAAATTACAAAAAAATGTTGAAAAAATAAATTTTCAAATTTGAATGCAGATTTATAGATAATAGCTCCAGAAACATTTAGAGGTATGCCACTTCAAAATCCGATTAAGATAAGTTGAGTTATGGACTTCGGAACTTCAGTCTTGGGACATTTCTGAATTTCTGCAACATCATAACATCAAAAAATTACAAAAAAATTTCGAAAAAATAAATTTCCAAATTTGAATGCAGATTTATAGATAATTGCTCCAGAAACATTTAGAGGCATGCCACTTCAAATTCCGATTAAGATTAGTTGAGTTATGGACTTTGGAACTTCAGTCTTGGGACATTTCTGAATTTCTGCAACATCATAACATCAAAAAATTACAAAAAAATGTCGAAAAAATAAATTTCCAAATTTGAATGCAGATTTATAGATAATTGCTCCAGAAACATTTAGAGGCATGCCACTTCAAATTCCGATTAAGATTAGTTGAGTTATGGACTTTGGAACTTCAGCCTTCGGTCATTTTTGAATTTCTACAACATCATAACATCAAAAAATTACAAAAAAATTTAAAAAAAATTAAATTTTAAATATGAATGCAGTTTTTTAGGGAATTGCTCCAGAAACATTTAGAGGTATGCCACTTTAAAATCCGATTCAGATAGGTTGAGTTATGGACCTTAGATTTTCATTCTTGGTACATTTTTGAATTTCTACATCATAACATTAGAAAAAACAAGATAGTCGAGTTACTCAGCTAGCGAAAGAAGAATTTTCAACATTTTCTGGAATATCTGTAGAAATTGCGTACAAAATCAAAAAAAAATGTAAAATTTTTCAAACTTGTGTGTTTCAAACATACGGATAGACGGCAGACGAACATGGCCAGATAGACTCTTCTATTGATTGTGTTCAAGAATATATATACTTTATATGGTCGGGCACGCTTCCATCTGCCTGTTACATACTTTTAAACGAGTCTCGTATACGCTTTTACTCCACGAGTAGCGGGTATAAAAATAAATAAACTAAAATTTTTAATAAATAAAATGTACTTCTGATTTTCTTAAGACTACTCGTATAGGAAATCAACTTTACTTTCGCAAGAAGAAAGTCTCGAAATAAAAGAGTATCTAAATCTCAGATTTTGATTGGCCCAAATTCGTTCTAAGGATTTCACAAATTTTCATATTTAGATTATGGAACTGAAATCCCCTGAAATGAAATGTGCCCAGTGATTTGAATCTGATTGGGTACCTTAAGTGTACTTTTCTCTGCGAAAATCCCCGTGCATGTCTTATCTGTCGTTGTGTTTTTCAAGCTGTCCGTTCGCCTATAAAAGCGCTCGCCTTTTGTATCTCAGCCATCAGTCGCTCAGACCTCACTGCAATATCAATATCTTTACGTTCTCCTAAGAAAGCAATCAAGAAAAAATCACCATGAACTTCTACAAGATCTTCGTTTTCGTCGCCCTCATTATGGCCATCGCCATTGGACAATCGGAGGCTGGCTGGCTGAAGAAAATTGGCAAGAAAATCGTAAGTCCTGCACTTTGAAATTCGCCAATCCGGAAACTAACTGAGATCCCCTTTTCACAGGAACGCGTTGGCCAGCACACTCGGGATGCCACAATCCAGGGACTGGGAATCGCTCAACAGGCCGCCAATGTTGCAGCCACCGCCCGAGGTTGACCACGAAGATGAATTATAATTATTTATTAAAAAACTATTTATTACACTGCTCTATGTAAATAAAACCATTTCAAAAACGGACATACAATCTTCTATTCAAACATTATTTTTAAAACTTTTAAATTCCATTATTTATACAGAATATTACAAATCGCAATGCTGAAGACCTTATCACCGAATAGTTTGTAGCTTTTGCTTCTTTTTCGATGGGGAATGAAAATAAAAGATTGTGTGTTATCTGTAGAAATATATTTCGGTTCGCCTATAAAGGGACTGGACTCTTTATTTCAATTATCAGTCGCTTAGTACATGCTGAAACAATTAAGTCCACTTTTGGCACTATTACAACAAAATGAACCACAGTACAATCTGGATTTTAGTTGTCCTTGTGCTGGCCACTTACTTGCAACAATCGGAAGCTGGCTTCTTCGATACCTTAGTAAGCTCTAGCCATACTGAAAGAATTGATGGTTCCAACTCACATTTTGAATCCTCAGAAGGACGTTGGTCTATACTCTCTGAATACCACTCTTCAAGTTGCTGATGTCGCCACGAAGGCAGCCAAAGTCGCCATGACTGCCAGGGGATAAACCCAAGTTTGGGGAATATTTGTAATAAACTAAATTAATATATTTTTGTTTATATATTCTTTGTGTATTGTATCATAAGAATGTAACATACGCCTTTCAGAGCTCATTCAAATTCAGTTGTTTGCTTATCGCAAATAATTCGGTAGTGTTTTAATTTCAATTGGTTCTAATTAAATGCGAAACAAAGAAGGTGCTTTCTGTCTAATTCTTGGCATGTGAGCCAGCACACATGAATCAAATTAAAAAATCCCCCATTCGACTGGGTGATTTTGAGCGGATTGTATTCCTCTCGTGTACTTTTCAGCCATAAAAATCCCCTTCTGAGCCTTATCAGCCGCTGAATACACCTGGATTCGCCTATAAAAGCTCTCGTCTTTGCAGTTGCAATCAACAGTCGATCACCATCCAGTGCAACAGCCACATCAGAGCTCTAGCTACTCTTGCAAAATCCCAAGTCAAAAAAGTACCACCATGAACTTCTACAAGATCTTCGTTTTCATCGCCCTCATTCTGGCCATCGCCATTGGGCAATCCGAAGCTGGTTGGCTGAAGAAAATTGGCAAGAAAATTGTAAGCACTATCTTTTGCTGTATATGAGCTTGTCAACTAACTAGAATTCTTTTTCACAGGAACGCGTTGGCCAGCACACCCGGGATGCCACAATCCAGGGACTGGGAATCGCTCAACAGGCCGCCAATGTGGCAGCCACCGCCCGAGGTTGACCACGTTGGCTATCTAATAGATATTTTAAAAATCGTATTTATTTTATGCATCTAAGTAAATAAAACATTTAAAAAAACACTTTTTGCTCTTCTATATTCATATATTCAACAAAGTGTTGTGAGCTCGAACAACAGACAATCGTATTATGAACCCTATCAATAGTTTTTGAGGCGCACGTGCCAAAAATAGACAAAAATAATAAAGTTAGCTGTAAGGTCTTCTCAAATGGATTTAAATACTCTTGATAATATTTTCGACTGGGAAACCCACGAATATGTCTTATCTCTATTTCAGTTTATAGTTCTACTTATGTTTTCGCCTATAAAAGACTTAGGTCTAAGTTTTGAGCATCAGTCTGAAAATAATATTAGCAAACGAACACTGGCTGCTTTTTCCAGTCTGTAAACAAATAACTTAATATGAACTTCAGGCACATCTTCTTTTTCGTGTTCATCATCCTGGCTGTCAACTTGCAACAGTCGCAAGCCAGTTGGCTGACGGATTTGGTAAGTTGGCATTGATCTTACAGCGCACATCGATCTAACTAAAACTCCTTTCCACAGAAGGAAAAATCTGAGCAGACGTTTCAGTACGTCAAAAACGCGGCACTAGAGGTCATTGAAGTTGGCCAAAAAGCCGCGGATGTTGCTGCCACTGCCAGGGGAGACAAACATTAGCATTCTACCAGATTTTAGTGGACTTGTCTGGCCATTCAATTTACATGGTAATGAAGTAATGCTTCGAATATTTAATAAAATCAAAAATTATTAAGTGATAAGAACTTTCAAGACGCTAGTTTTATTTTTAGTAACCCGGCTGATAAGTCTACGGAGGAATACGTTATCACCATTTAATTACTCTGTTTTTTTCTTTTTATTAATGTTCGCTTAATTAGATTGTAATAATTTGACATCGGCATTAAATATTAACGTTGTGCATCTTAATTTTTCTAATGACTTGCAGTGAATTAGTAATAAATTAGAGAAATGAGCTGGCCAAGAGCGGTTTGAGCTTGGTTTCAACCTCGAGCGGTGGCTGCAACATTGGCGGCTTGTTGGGCGATTCCGAGGACCTGAATTGTGGCATCCCGGGTGTGTTGGCCAATGCGCTCCTAAAAGGAAAATACGTCCAAATTAGTATTGTATTTCTTAATTTAGAAAGAAATTCTTACGATTTTCTTGCCCAGCTTCCTAAGCCAACCAGCCTCCGAATTTCCCAGGCTGATGGCCAGGATGAGGGCCACGAAGACGAAGATCTTGTTGAAGTTCATGACGGGATTGTCGGCTTGTTACCGGATTGATAGGAAGCTTCAGCTGTTGCAGTGAGAACTGTGAGACTGATGACTGGACATCGAAGAGATAGAGCTTATATAGCGATACCAGCAGATGCTGCGGCTGCACAGCCGGGGATTTTTTCTGTGGGGCACAAGTTCACCAGATGGACTCAGATCGGAACTGCCATCAAGATGACTTACTGAAGTGGTATTTCAGAATCAGTTGTTGCATTTAGAATTCTGTTAATAAATGTATTAGGGAACCATTGCATTTAGATGTTTTGAAGTAGCTTACAAATAATTTAGGCCTAATTTAAAATAACAAAGTGATGTAAATAGACAAATGTAGATGTAGAAAAATGTAGATTTCACAGAAGTAAAGTATGCAGAACAAGCATGCCATTTGCATTACTTTTTAATTTTTATTAATATTTTTCTTCTTTTTTTTTTTGGTATAAAAGACTCTATATTTACAACACGATTATCAGTGGTTTAGCTCGCAATGGAACTGACTTATCAGCGGGATTAATAACTCAGGAATTAAACCACAAAAACTAAACTTTACTTCTACAACATCAGTGCATAAATATTTATTTTTATCCGCCTATAATTCTATAGCCCAGAACTGAGAGTTGGCAACAACTTTACACAGCAACTGCAGATGTGTGATATTTCCTGGACATAAGAAATCCCCTCAATCAACATGGCTTTAGGTAAGTAATCCCTTGATTGTCCACTCCCAGCATAATGTATGCCATAAATAAAAGCAAAATACATTCGCGCAGAAAAAGTACGGGAAAAAACGCCAAACATTTGATTTGGATTAATCAGCAAACACGTTTCATTGGCTTCCCCACAACAGATCAAAAAAACAAAAAAAGGGGAAACAACAACTGAGTATTACTCAATGGGTTGAACGATCGCAGAATTGAGTTAGAACTACTAGATCGACTGACACATACGCAATACCTCGAACTTAAGTCAAGTTAAGTGACTCGGCGGAATGTTGTTCTACAGACGTTGAGATCTTTAAGATACCTGTGGGTATTTGGAGAATGTCTCCTTTAAGTAAAGACCCCAGCTGGGTTATTGCCTAATTTTCCACATACAAGCAGTCATAAAATATGCCCCGTGTGAATGCCATGAGTAATGGGTAACCAACGTTTACTACGAACAAGTTTTATGAATGGACTTCCTCGTGTGTGATTTCTCTTACCTCCAAAGGCACAAAGAACCCACAACCAAGTAGATCTTATGCCCATTATGACTCAAGTGATCGATCAAGCTGGCAGTTTAGCGGCACACCTGTAATTGAGCCGATCCCCACCCCCTTTCCGCGCCCATATTTCTTTATTGCGGCTTTCTTTATCAGCCTGCCGCTTATCAGTTTGCGCTGCGCTGTCTTCGCGAATGTGAATCCCCTAGGAAAAGTTCCCCGGCGGCATCTGCTGACTTCTCGCCAATCGAGGAGGCAAGGCCAAGATGCTCAAAGATCCAGTTGGTCGTCTTCATCGGCTGAATTGGGAATTTAGATTCCGGGGACGCCTGCTTTAAGATCATGTGAGTCACTCTGGTGAATTATGAAAGCTATACAAGTTATTTGCAAGTATAAAGTAGCTCGACTTGGCTTAAAAAATTGATTAGAATTAAACAGAAGCGTATGTTTTGACTAGAAGTATTTGCACTGTAAATTGCCAGCTGAAACTACTGAAAAACACACTTGGCAACCTCTTTGCTCACCTTAATATCATTTAAGACCCGTCCTCTGAATAGCTCCCTTCAATTTGAGTAGTTGAGCCGTCCTTTGGAACCAGTTGCGGCATTTACTGACTTACTTACGCTTCCGTGGACTCACCAACTAGCTGCTTCGAAGGATGCGGCTGCGGATGAGGACGAGTCCTGGCGGTTATGACACAGGACTCGCTCCCCGCCTTTTGCGACTCCATCTGCCACTTGTAGCTGTCACTCAGCGGTTAATTCGAGCGATTTTATTTACATTTCGGAGTGGCCAAGGAACCGGAAAGCAGCAGCAAGGAAGCGGAGTCAAGGCCCAAGATGAATAAAGCGTTTTTACTTGTTAAGGAAATTAGTGGCATATCCTGACAGGGCGCCCATCTTCCTCACAGCCTCTATTCCCATTTCTAGTCATGCCACAGAATAACAGAGTATATCTTCTTGCCACATTGTGTGTCTGCCTCCCTTGCTGATTTAATTCATTTGTTGTCTTTGCCGCGCGTCTATTGTCTGCCCCGCGTTGTTGCTTTTTTATGGCTGAAATTAGATGGTGGTTGATATGCGCAAAAGCCTGCAACCAGAGCAAATGCCTCCTTAAATCAAGAGGCACAAGTTTCGTGGCGAAAAGTTGCCTAATCGGCATCGCATTCTTGGCTATTCTTCTGTGCCAGAAGTCCGCTGATCAGTCGCTGGATCGCACTCTACATACCCATCAAATTCACTATGAACTCCTAGAAGATCTTCGTCTTCGCTTAATGTGCATCAAGGACTCTCCCAGGATAACGCGCTTATTAATAAACTAGCTCACATCCCCGTAATTTACATGTGCACATGTGTCTCGTGGCCATCACGAGGCTGATTACACTTTCCCAGGGTGGCTGGGCTTTTCCGGTTTTCCCACAGTTTTCCCGGAGATTCTCGGGATCTGGGCACAAGTGTAAGGGCTCCCTTGGGCCATCGACTTGTGCCCGGGTCCACCTCTTGTTGGTGGTCATTTCGGGCGCAAAACGCGTCCAAATGTCAAAACACTTGTGAACTGCGACCCTTTTTGGGTTGAAAGTTGAAATGGATGGATGGCCCATGTGTGTTCCTTGTTGTGTTTTGTGTTTTGTGTTATGTATTTTGTGTGCTGGGCTGGTAATTTGCTTTGATTTACTTACATGAGAGCGGAGGTCGCGCCACGTGACCGCAAAGTTTACATTAAATTATCGGAGATCCTTGAGGAAATGATTCGCAGGTTTCGCGAATGGAAAATGAAATTGGAATATTCCTCCTAGCAGCACATGAGTGGCTAAAAAAGTAATTACAAATGGTTAAGCAAACAAGCTAAAATGATTTAAAAACAGGGATGAACCCCACGTTGAAAGTACATTATAACTTGTATTTTCGAGTATGTGCTTTCTCCAATAAAAGTGCCGAAGTTCGCCTAAAAAACCGCAAGCGAATCAATTTTAAAGGCACTTCCGATGTCGCCCGACCTAATTACACGGCATCTCCATCGGATTAGGCCAACTCGCCTGGGAAATCGACAGCTTGGGCTGCCCGATTCGGTGCCTCGGGCTGAAAAGCGCTAAAAGCCAGAGCACATGGCCTGAATTATTGACAGATTAGACCAGGATTGTCTGCCAGTCAATCATTATCGGCGCGGCATCCAACTTCCCATGACGATGGCGTTGGAGTTGGAGTTGTGGCAGCTGCCAAATGATTTGAATAACAATAAAGATCAGCCTTTGTCTGCCGGCTGTATTTTGTAATTTATGCATTGATTTCCGCACACCCCCTCGTGAGTAATAATCATTTTGAAATTACACAAAAAGCGAGTCGCAGTGCAATTTCCTCGCGGGCCGCCCGTGGCGCAGATTGTAAAATTTGAAAATTTCATAAGGCAAATCCCGGAAAATCATGCGTAAGCCCCTCGAACAGCACTCGAGAATCTGTTGCTAAAAAATCTTGTGTAATATGCGTTGTAGCTGTGGAAAAGAGCGGAATAAGTATGTGGCACCCCGCCAGGAATCCGAATCCTCTCCAGAAATCGTTTACAAACCATTGAGAAGCCGCCGATGTATCAATAATATTTGAACAGCCAGTTCAGAGGTGGTGAAAGTTGTTTTAAAATATACGAGTATTACGCGCAGATGGGGATGTGGGCTGCTCAGCCACGAATAATGTTTGGCTTAATTTCTTTTATGGCTCAATATAACCATTATTCGCAGTACTCGAGCGTAATCAGCAAATTTAAATGCAATTCGCCTTTTAAAGTGTCAAGAGCAGTTGGAAATGGCGCCGTCCTATCCACTCCCCAAAAATAAACTGCGGTTTCACTTTCTTCACGACGCTTTTATTTGAGAGCTCTGTGCGACAATTTATCATATTTAAAATGCCATAGTTGCTGTGAGCTGTCATTTCATAGAATTTCCAGACAGCTAACGATGTCAGGCGATTTCCTCTCAGATACACATAACTCTTTGTTATTAGGAATACAACAGATGCAAAGGTAAGCCAACCAGATACTTTTGTATCACAGGTTTTTAAAAGGTGTATTTAACGTGTAGAACCAACCAAAAGTATTTAAGCGAACCAAACGAGCTATGCAACTGACATGGAAAATGTATCTATTTGTGTCGCTATGTCTTTGCTCGCATTGTTAGTTACATGTCATCATCAAATCAGTCGTCAGCCAGACTGGTTGAAGCTCTGATTTCATTTCGAGCACTTCACAGCCATTCTAAACGCGTTATAAATCACAAAGATACACAAAAACATATATGTGCACACATGTCTGCCCTCGAGAACTCATATTGGATGCTTTTTATTTGGTTTTGTCGAGCGATTCCAAATAAGAGCAGCTCTCTGCGGCGACAACAATGCAAAACAATTCAATTTATGAAATATTTTCCCCGAACCCCTGCTCCGTATCTTTGTCTATGGCGAAAATGTAGTATCTGTGTGTTTCATGGAGAATGCCAAGTCGGGCATTACACATACGTGTACATCTCATACGCAATTCGGTGTCCCGGACTTTGGCAAAAGATTTATTGTCAGCTTGACGATTAACAAAGGTGGCTCCGGATTCAGGACCCCTGCTCCGGAATATCTCACCCCTTTCGAGGCAGCAATTTAATAAACAGACAACAGAACAACAGCACAACAATGGCAGCGCTTTTGGGTGCCTTTTCAGGACAAACGAAATGAAATTGCTGGGCACATAGTCGTAGGCATTTTTTATTGTGTGTATCCTGCGAGCGAGCCAAGGTCCTGTCAGCGCATAACTTTCCTCGGGGCAATAAAATCAATTCAATTGTTGCCAACTTCCAGGCGAATGCCTCCA